TCATCATCATTTTATGGTTATTATTATTATTATCATCATTTTTATTATTATTATTATTGTTGTTATTGTACATAGCAGAATTGTGTCTCTCAGGGAGTGGTCACAATCTGGAGTTGCGTGACGGCTTTATGAACATGTGATATCATATCATATTCCGTTTAAAGATTCCACGAAAGTAGTGTTCCTGTTTACACTATAGCAAATAAACATGACAATTGGCATGTAGATTTTCCCGAAAGTCAACGATCCGCGAAAGCTTCTTCGACAGTCATGGTTAGCGACGAGTTTCGTATGAAACATTTTTCTCTGCGGCATTCAGCTCAACGTGAGTTTACAAGCTCCAGGGTAAGTATAAACTATTGCAGGCTATGAACAGTCCAACCTTTTGACGAGGGGTGGGGATTAAGATTGCATTTCATTTCTTCAAACGGAGGGAACCATCATATCTGCTGGTCAAGACATGATAATAAACGAGCTCCGAGTAAGTTGGAGCCTTAAGTAGAGAAGGAGTAATTTCGAAACTGCAGAATTCTTATAAGAAACTGCTTTCGTGACGACCACTTTTCAGCTGACAATTCGCGGAAGCCAATGCCTGTGACACTGCCGACTCGACAAAGAGTAATCAATAGTTAACACTTTCAGTGAACCAGATACAAGTAAACATAAGCAGCCTTGTAAAATATTTTGCACCAAAAAAATTTGCAACTTTAATCATCCAATACAGGCCCACCAAAGCCGGATGTGAAGTTGAAGAAAGTGAAAGATTGTCATCATAGCACTCTGACCCCCATGTTAATGTTAGAGACAGTTCAACATTACGGCTTCAACTAGCGAATATGGATCTGTTCTCTAAAATTTTTTCGGCCCTTCGGGCCTCAGTTTGTTGTAAAAATAAGGGGGGCCCCCTCCCCTGTATCTGCCACTGCATGGTTAAAACCAACCGTCAAGGTTTCCTTGATTGTTTTTTTTCTTAGTATCATTATAACTCATATATATTTGATCACGAGATCAACACTGGACCATGAGTCTCTCCCACTTGATCTTTTTAGAATTCCTGACCAACCAGACTCCAACAAGTCTAATTACGGAATATTTAACCATCGGCCGAATGGGCTATTGACTCAGAGGCCATGAGGGCGAGAGGAATAATTGTTTTAGTAAAATCCAACTAGTTGGTCAAAAATATCGAGAATAAAAAAATTTTAGCTAGTTAAAGCTGGACTTTAATCCTTTTTTGCCACCAAAAAGCCCGCTCTTTTCGCTACTAGTGGGCTATAACATATAGCCTAGTAGTAGCTCAACCAATTAGAACGCAGCACTGATAATAGACCACTAGTTGGATTTTACTAGAAACACATAATCCGTAGTAAATATTGAACTGCTAAATGGATTTTACGTTGTGGATTCCCGACTCCAGGTACTGGATTTTCAAATTCCTTGTCAGTGCAACTTGCATTCCGGAATCCAAAGCCAAGGATTTCGGATTCCACGGGCAGTAATTTCTGGAATTCTGAAATTATAGCAAGGGGGAAAGATTGCGCGTTTGAAACTGAATGAAAGATGTTCAGCACTAACAGACCATATAATGTCCTTTTCCTTACTTAGGCCTAAAGCAAACGAGAGACTAATGCACCACTACCCTATGAAATCCCACAACTTGCTCGTACGTTAAGTTAACAGGCCATGTGGTGTAGCCTCACCACCTATTCAGATAATTAAACTGCTTATGTTCATCTGACCCATAAACCCAATGGGACGAGTAAGCCACGATGTTAGCACGTAGTTCTTGCAGCTTGCATTCGAATACTCCCGCGAAATTACAATTCGTGAAATTAGAACATATTACCTGACTTTGGTCAACTGGTATCTCAAGGGGACCAAAGATGGGAACGAAGAATTAGGCTGGAATATCGAAGGCTTGAGTCATGCCTTTTGAAGAAATCATTTTGGGTGAAAGTTTTTAAATCCCCTCGACGTCCTTTTCCCTCTCCTTTCACCGTTGGCCTCAAAATTGGACTAATCCACTTAAACCTATCACTAAACAACATTACAGGGAGAAATGGAGGTAAAACAGTTGTGCGGTGACCCAAATTAGGTGTCCTTGATTGTAGCCTGCGATCATGCCTTCCCTATATCTCATGTTATAGAACGCCTGACAAAAAGTTAGCCAGAAACCGTCAGCATTTGAAGTATTCATGGAAGCTCTGTTCTCACAAATCTGATGTCTTTTTCAAATGTCTTTTCCAGTGGCTCGCTATGCCTGTTTTTGTGGTGTATCGCCTGATGATCGCGGCATACAATCTAACGTGGCTTATCTACAATATATACCTGAAAGGAGCCAAGCTGTTTATTTACATCACAAACTGGAGTTATACACTCTTTGTTGTCTACTTTACTATTGCAACCATTCTTTCCTGCATTGAAAAGTGTAACGATCTGAAAAAGGAACTAGACAATGCTTCTGGTGAAAGCGATAAAGAAATGCCAGAAGATGGGATAGAAATGAAGATCTATGACGTGGATGATGACCCAATAACGACCGACGGAGAGAAAGACGCTTTGGGATTTGGACATAAACTACTTTGGTTTCTTCACACAATCTCTGCTACTGGAGGTTTGTGGGTGACCGTGGGGTACTGGGGCGTACTTTTCGAGGATGGGAAAGTTGACGCCAATAACCTCACAAAGGAAGTGTTTAGTTCTGTGTTTATGTTAATGGACACGTGTCTCAGCTTGATTCCAGTGCGTGTTGTTCATTTTGTGCATGCGCTCCTGTACCTTGCTGTGTATCTTCTTTTCTCCGTGGTTTATTGGAAGCTGGGCGGAACCAACATCGAAGGAAAACCTTACATCTACAAAGTCCTGAATTACGACGACTTCAAAGCCATTACTGGAGTTGTTTTAGTGGTTCTACTGATAGTGGGTGTACCTCTATTGCATCTATTTGTGTTCGGCATCACGAAGTTTCGAGATTATCTTCATACAAAGTATCATGAGAGAAAAAAGCCATATAGGGGCATATACAGGATGATATCGATTATGGGAGACAATTGAATAACGCTAAAAGGATATTCAAATACTATACTACGAATAGTCCCCCATTTTTCCTCAGGGATAGTAGGGCGAGCGAAAAGCGAGCGCGTGTGAAAATCACCCCAGGCGAGAAAAGGCGACACGCGGCGAGGAGAGAGAAAAGCCGCGTGTCGCCTTTTCTCGCCTGGGGTGATTTTCACGCCCGCTCGCCTTTCGCTCGCTCTACTATCCCTGAGGAAAAATGGGGGACTACTCGTAGTCTATTGAAATACAGGAGACCCTGAGGAGGCTTAGTGTGTGCCATTTTGTGAACTCAAAATGAAATCACGTTGGTACTAGTAATAGAATTATTGAACCTTCTTCGCAGGCAAATCTTTCAGCCAAAAATACAAACGAAGAGAGCTTGATCGTCGGAGATCTCCGCTCAGGCTAGCAGTGTCTACCTTACCTCGTGTTTCTGGCCACGCCCTTTCCTCCGATGCATGACTCATCCCTGTCTTTTTCTGCAGATCTCTTTTTTCACACCCGCTTTTCCTCCCTGCAAGTTATGGTAGAAAGTTGTTTGACTGCGAAGGAATCAGCGACCAAGACAGAGAGCTTGTGATATTAATCAATGAAATAAGAAACGTACATACAGCTCATTTCTGAAACATTACTCAGTGATTCCAACCAACAGTGCTGCTTTTTGTTTATCTAGATGAAACACTCCCATTTTTTGTCTGTTTGTTGTTGTTCTTGAAATTGTAAATATACGGAAATGGTGACATTGGATTATTAGTATAGGTAATAGCATGATTTGTAGTGATATTTGGCATAAATACCACGAGTGATATTTCGAAATTGTTATACGTAATTTCACGAGCCGTTAGGCGAATGAAATTTGAGACAATTTTGAAATATCACGAGTAGTATTCATGCCAAATATCACGTACAAATAATGTCATTATTTGTTTTGTACTATTACCCACCAAAGGTTTGTAATTTTCACATGTAGGTATTTCAAATTAAGCTGAAATACCACTGCTCTAAGCCAATCAAATTGCAGAAATTTCTCATGTAGTAGTATAACTTATCTAATTAAAACACAACTTAAAAACTGAATCTTGACAAAGCTCTTATTTAGTTGTATGTTCCAGATTAAGGTAGAGCCGTGCACGTGTTCCAAACCGGTGCTTGGAGTTAAGCCAAAAGCTTTCGCGCCACTTTCTCGACCAATTAAAAGTCAAACCAAGACCAATCGCCCAGCCTAGTCCCTAGGCGTTATCTCTTTATCCATTTCATTGAAGGAAAAATTAGATTTAACGTTATTTAGCGTTCGAAGATCTCAGTATTTTATTTCTCGTACAAAGTCTCTTATTTTCAACGGTCGCCTGTAACGCGACACCGGCGCGTCCAGCAGAAAGGTCGCGCGTCACCTATAGTAAGTTCAACTTTACACTCTTTCCTCGTACCGTGAGTTTGGGCTACCTGTGCTTTCGACAATACTTTCTCTCTTTCTGCCCACCATTACTATGAATAAAGTCAAATGTCAAAGCGAAAGAACGCTTGTTGAACGTGAAGTCGGGCTAGCTACAGTTCTAGGGATTATTATAAATTAATACGGTGGACGGTCAGATCATATTCAGGAGACTAATGAACGCTCCGAGTCAAACATTAATCTGTAATCCAGAAATCGAGTGAAGCGAACTGCTCTCTGTCTCCTTTTGGCCTTTCCGCGTGTCTTCGCGCCTTCCTTATTTGTGTGAGTGTGTCCGTTTGATCGTGAAAAAATGCTAAAACGGTAGGAAGGGAAAAAAAAAAGAACAAAAGACACACACTCAATTGCCAGGATTCGAACTCGCCCTTCTCCGTCGGCTGTTAGCTTCGCGTGCCGGAAACTTAACCAAGCAGCTAAGGAAACAAAATACAAGATCCGTTTTCATCTCCTAATAGGCTCATCATTTGACGACGGGAAAGCGCGCGGTAAGGACTAACTCGACTTCCGGTGCCCAATTTGCCGCTGTGCCATTGGTCAAGCCAGTTGTTTGATTTGCGCGCGCTGTCGTCAACTGACGTTCCCGTTCTGTTGCTTGTCAAGATCACGTAACCCACCGTCTGAAAAAGAAACACTTCTCACGCGGTTGCAAATACAAATATAGGTAAAAGGAAACTGTAAAATGACTTATGAATCGTGACGTTTTTATTTGTTATCTGATTTTTTATCTATTGTGTACATTTATCTATTTTGTAGTTAGCGTCTAGTTTTAATGTCAATTTCTTGCGATTATTTTTACTTTTTAGTTCTATCTAATTTTTTGTAAACAGCGCCTTTGAATCTTGTAGAAAAGGCGCTATATAAATGGATTATTATTATTATTATTATTATTATTATTATTATTAATCGTTCAAACATCTTTTGCAGAAAAAATTAATTAGGTAGAAGGGAGCGTGACCTTCTAAAACATCTTTTCTTCAATGGCCGACTTTCGTGCTGTAGTATCGGTGCTGCCATGCAGCCCGACTAATAAAGGCAAGAAGAATCTTTGTGGCTGTGCGGAAAAGGCTAATCGACAATGAGCCTTCGTGGCTTTTTGATTCTCATCGTATGTCAACATTAAAACAGCGGCTGCGTTTGCAAGTTGATTGGTGTCAAAAAAGGGACGCATTTTTCAGTTTAATTTATTTCTTTGCTTTCCTTTATAGACGCGCGAGTTACTAGAGACTGCCTCCTGCACACGAACTAATGATATCATTCGTAAGAAATTGATCAAGAAGAACTCTAAAATACCGTCACATCTGGACATGATGCAGTTTGCGGTGATGTAATTATTTCTTCGCTGCATTACAAATCACATTTAGTCTTGCTTGTCTAAGCATCGAGACTCATAAATTGTCTCCCGGCCATGTACTAGGCCCGGGGGGGGGGGGGGGATTTGATATTTCCCTTGGTTGGGGGGTGGGGGGGGGCCCCCCATCCCCTGCCCCTGTTTAAACAAAATATTCCTGTTTTTCCTACCCTTTTTAAGACAAAATTCCGATTTTTTATACCATGTTTAAGTCAACGGAAGTCAATATTAATTAACATTAGAGCTTGTAAAAATTTTGCTGTTTATCGTCCAAGAAAAGATACCCTGTTTAAGACAAAAATTGATAAATCGATACCCTGATTAAGACAAAAAATGATAAATTCGATACCCTGTTTAAGACAGAAATCCCGAAAAACCTACCCTGGCTGGCCGCACGTCCCCATTAAGCCCTTATAAAGGAGTACCCCCCCCCCCCCCCCCCGGACACGGCGCACCCCAGTGAAAAAAACAAAGCGAGACCACACGCGAGTAAAAATTAACAAAACAGAACCCGTATAAAAAAAAAAAAAAATAAATTCTAAACCCTTTTTAAGACAAAAAACCCCAAAAACCTCCCCCGGCGGGCCCCCCCCCCCCATTAACCCCTTTAAAAAGGAGCCCCCCCCCCCCCCCCCGGGGTACTAGGTGCTTCCATGGATAATAGAAAGACTGGATAGGAACCTGGCTGACGTTATTATCCATGGTGCTTCAGGACCTTTAAAGCAAAACTTTGCGTTACTCCAAATTTGGCCCACAAATTTGGCCCAATTATGTGGCTAGTTGCAGTCCCCGGTTGGTTATTTACGTAACGTCGCGTTACAGCTCTTGACCGAGCCGAGAACGCCTAGGGACTAGGCTGCCAATCGCCACTTGCTCCATGCGCCTTTTTTTGAGCTTGCCTCACATTTGTTTTTAATTTAAATCTGATTGGTTCACTAAATTTCTATGCGAATTGTGAGTTTTTGTTTGTTTGTTGTTTGTTTGCCTTACCGGTGACAATAGTAATTTGTTTCGAATAAACTCTATGAAGCAAAGGACGAAGATTAAGGCAGTTTCGACGAGAACCAAACAGTTTACTGCAAATCATTGTTGAAAGTTTCTGATGTGGGCATCTTGCATGGTATCAGCCTTTTTCCTTTCACTTACTTAATTGAAAACCATTCTATTAACTCAAACAGCCCTTATGAAAGAAGACAATGGCTGGCTATAACATCCATGTTGGGCACGGTAATTTCAAACAAATATTAAACGCCAAAAACAAAACGAGTGAATGACTTCTGCAGCGTTAATTAACGAATTACTTATAGTGTCCGAAAAATATTTAATCCGGCGGAAAACTTTCCAACTGAGTTTTATGAAAATCTTACTTTGTTAATCGATTTATTAAATTGTTTTTCGTAAACTTTGGTGTTATTTACGTGCTCACAGTGCGCTCAGAATAAAGACAAAAGAACCAATTTAAAATACCGCATTGGCTGATATGTTTTTCTCAGTTTAACATAGAGTCCATTAAAAGAAAGCCATAAAAGAGATAGTAAGATATAGATTTATTTACAGTAAAATACACGCTGTAAAAAGTAAATTTTTTCTTCCAGGTGTATGCAATGTTTACGACTCTGTTTACGATCAAAATCTTGAAGGGTTAATCCAGTTTTCAACGATTAGGTGCTAATTAAAAGAACTTAAAGCTACGCATAAGATCCTTCCTATAGCTCAAACCTTATTTAAACGGCTTAAGTTTATACCTTTTTTGCTGTTCAACTAAATCGAAACGATGTCCTTTGTACTTTTTAATTAGTTCCTCTATCGAAGTAAAGGAAAGAGTGCTTGCACCGATCGGTTTGTTATGAGCAGTCTTTGGCTTTGATGTGCAAATTGCTGGTAGCGAAGTCCATTTATCATTGTTTGCAGAAGAATCATCAAGATGGCAAGATGGCTCGCCATTAATATCTTTGTTACGCTGATTTAGTGAGCTTTCGTGCAGTCTAAAAACGGTCCTACGTTTCAAAAAATCAGTGTATTTGTTGCCCACCTCGTTGGTCTTTACTGCAATTTTTGTTTTTTTTACGTGTGGTTTCTGGGACCGGCATGTCGTACAATTATAACAGTACAAAATGTCCACATTACGCTGTGCTGCGTTTAATAAACTGTCTTCGAGCGATCTTTCCTGCCTTGCAGTACTTTTCTCCGGTGTCCAAAATGGTGAATAAAATGTTTTTGGAGGTACGCAGCGTTTAAAAGTAGACGTTTTGACGCAAAATGCTTCAGAATCGTTGCAAACCTTTTTGACATTTGTCTTCTTCAATACATTACTTGTTACTTGCGATTCAAAATCTCTTTTAGACGTTTTTTGCCCTTGTTGTGAAGGTAATTTTATCTTGTCCAAGAATACTGTTTTTTCATGACTGGGATAACTCCTAGCAATTTTTTGTGAATTATTCACGTTAGGGCTTTCGTCTTGGACTGGCGATAAACTCGTGTTGATTTTGTAATCGTCTTGAATGTCAAGTTTTTCGCCACTTATCTCATGATTGGTCTGTGATAACGAATTATTTTCGTCTTCGTTTTCTCGGATATATTGTGTTCCGTCTCCCGCGTTTTTAGACAAGGGTCTCATGGCCTCCGTTCTTCCATTCGTGACTTCGTTTGTAACACCATCGAAACACTCGGATACGGAAATGTAATCTTGAATCGATGAATCACCGTTGTTATTGTTAGATGTTATAACCTGCTTGTTTCCACATGATTCCTCATTAATTGTTCTTTTATGGTCGTTGTTATGTTCAAATCCCTCGATTTCATTTCGTCCCCCTAAAGTCGTGCGTTCGGTTATCAAAGTCTGATCCTGTTCAGAAGCTGTCGCCGGTACTTCTTTTGTGTGGCTCCCAGCTATCGAAAAATCTCCTTCAAAACTGTCAATAAAGTCGAAACTAATATCTTCGTCTTCGAATACGTTGACAGGTTGCCCTAGAAAATCTTCTCCTTCCGCGTAAAGCAACGGGCTCGAGCACAGCGAACCCAAATCATAAGTAGGACTGTTCATTCTATAAAAGTTCGATTTCAATCTCCATACGTAATTTTTTTTGTACAAACCTTTATAAAGCCCTAAAACAAAACACAATTGTTTTCGCAAATTAAAAACTGCGTCAGCTGTACTGGTCACCATGGCAACAAAAGGCAATAATTCTATTTTTCTATTATTTCACCCATAACAATGGGACTAAACATGCGATTGGTTTGAAAGGTTTACTCAGATGCGGCTATTTACTCAGTTTGAAGTTAAGTCTGCCAACTTTGACATTTGTTTTATTTTTTACTGTTATTAAATAGTAGGTTTTGTAACATCGAACATAGATTTTTTTTTTCGCAAGTTTTCGCCACTGACGTTTGGATAAACACTATACAAAATAGTGACAATTTTAAACTGTCCCCATACATTTATCAATAATTAATATCTGCCACCGCGATTAATTATGTACAATTTTAAAAGTCGCATACTATGAGCTTGAATGGAGAGCTTTTGTTGCTTGGTGTGTAACGAATGGTTTGATACTACGGTTATCGTTTATTGGGGCTATATGGGTCAAGACAAGTAACTTAATCCTTGGAAAGTTTCTTTTGTAAAGAGGGACAAAAATGGCCGGGTATAAAGCTACGGATTTCAGACCAAATTAAGTTGTAATTGCCAATGAATTGGGAAAGGCTGCCACCTGTAATGAATTAATCAACTTTTTCCGGCGAAAATAATTTGATAAGATCATTTTTTTTTCCTTTTCTTGTGCCAGTCTGGCGGGGCAAAAAAAAAACGCTAGGGACATAATTCAAAAAAGACAGTCACACGGAAGGAGAGTGGATCAAATGTGAAAAGTAAAAGTTAAAAAAAAGGAAAAGTAAAAAAGGAGATGTCTTTCTCGTACCCAGGGTTCTCTCCTACCCGTCCTTACGGAGCGACGGACAGGAGAGAGAACCTGAGAACGAGGTTGAGAAGATTTGAGGAAAGAAACTGCGCAAAATTGAAACAAACTAACAAAAAAAAGACAACTGAACTATTATAAAAACAAAGACATGTTTAGAACAAGACTTAATGCAAGGCTGGCAATACGGTAAAGGGCTGTTTTATTTGAGGCCAGTATTTCGGCTATCATGTTATCCATTGTTTTTATGTTTAGTTTATTATTAACCCCTCATGTAAGTTTAAATTCAAATTTCAGGAGCCGTTATAGCAGGGGCACCCAACGAGAATTTAGTTCAAAACCACTTAAACATAGCATTGTTAAACGTATTTTAGTATTTAAACGGTAGATATAGGCATATTTTTATCCCCTAAAAATTTTTCATCTGTTCGGATTTCCTAGCTGAAAGTCTAGTGATCCGAAAATTATAGGGATCAAAACTTACCTTTTGGAAAGTTTTGGCCAGAGAAAAGGCTCCCGAAAATTCTAGGTGACCTTTTCAGGGTAAAAATCCGTTAAAAAATGGGCAATGATAGTAGTTTTTAGATGTTCCAAAATCCTAGGAGAGGCAGGCAAGCAAAAAATTTTACGACAAATGTTCCGAAAATTCTACTCTCAAATCGTCTTCCGAACAGATATTTTCCGAAAATTGTCGTTGGGTGCCCCTGTTATAGCATTCCCTTTCAGTGTAGNTTAAACGTATTTTAGTATTTAAACGGTAGATATAGGCATATTTTTATCCCCTAAAAATTTTTCATCTGTTCGGATTTCCTAGCTGAAAGTCTAGTGATCCGAAAATTATAGGGATCAAAACTTACCTTTTGGAAAGTTTTGGCCAGAGAAAAGGCTCCCGAAAATTCTAGGTGACCTTTTCAGGGTAAAAATCCGTTAAAAAATGGGCAATGATAGTAGTTTTTAGATGTTCCAAAATCCTAGGAGAGGCAGGCAAGCAAAAAATTTTACGACAAATGTTCCGAAAATTCTACTCTCAAATCGTCTTCCGAACAGATATTTTCCGAAAATTGTCGTTGGGTGCCCCTGTTATAGCATTCCCTTTCAGTGTAGCTCTGGCACTAAGGAAGGCTACTGATTTTGTCAGCCGAAATATTGGCCTCAAATAAATCAGCCCTTTGTTGTATTGCCAGCCTTGAATTCAGTTTTGTTTTCATTCCCACTTAAAGTGACGTCTGAAAGAAGAGAAAAGAAAGAAAGAGAAGAAAGAACCAGTTGGTTTTATTTACGCATTGAGTGGACCTCTGCATTCAAAGGTTTTCAAAGATACGTTTAATAACAACTTGAGCATTTTTTTTTGCTTGGATATTGGATCGTGTCGACTAAATGAAACTATTGCTATTTTTTAACTAGAAAAATACATTATGGTTTTTTCTTTTGGGCGCGTGTTTTCTTTATCTCGTTAGATCTATATTGTTCATATATCAGTACCATGGATTGCATTCAATGGGCACATAACGTATGAAAAAAAAAATTTACCCAACAGTTAGCCATTATAGCGTGAGCTTGGGAACTAGGCTACATTAGCAGCCGCTGTTCGTGAAATGAGCCCGCGCTCAACCTATATGCTATACTTAATCTGGTTGTGAATTTCACCCAGTTTGTATCAGACTGATCAGTCTCGGATTTATCTGACTGCTTTCTACGTAAACAGTCGTTTATATACCAAGAAAAGGAAGGGCCTCGTGCAAACACGCCAAAGAACAAGCAAATCGGATCCTTACCATGCTTTATACGGCGAAGATATTAAGGCCATCATAAACTAAAAATATATATTTATATCTGACTTTCTGAGCCAAATATTTGATCTAAAACACAAACCGTCTTGGGGGAGGGGGGGGGGAGGGGGGGCGCTAAATACCCTGCGTGACCCTTGACATGGGAATGCTACACGAATTGAAAAAACGGGACAGGAAGATTTCCCAACCGCACCTCCCCCCCCCCCCCCCCTT